ATGACCTTGCAGGCTTGTAAAGTGTGGTTCTTCTCAGGGAATCGGAGAAGAATGAAGGAGCCAATGTGGGAACCCTGAGGAAGAAAACATGAGTTATGTTAGGAAATAACCCTTGGGGTTATTTCATATTTAACCTGGAGTCAGTCATGGATCCTGCTGTCTTTGGTAATACCTTGGTAATTTTCCTTAATGATTACAACGACTATTTTCATCTTGTTTTTCCCAGATATCAGGCCATTATTTCAACCAAGTGTGTGTTGGACTTTAACCTGAGAATAGGCACAAGCTTTGAAGTCAGACTTTCTTTTTTAAACTGTAGGCTGACCCTGGCTCAACCATCTGAAAATCAACTGGTATTTATATTTAGGTAGCCACATAGATAGATCCATCCATGTTTACAAAGACTGCTGCAGAGCATCTTACTCGGGGCACAGACACACAGAACCACTGTGTGAAGCCTGACCTTGGAACCAGCAGCCTTGGGCACCTGACCCTGACCAGTCCCAACCACCCAAGTCCCTCTTCCTCCTGGGAAAAATAGCAAAAACAGGTATATGAATGTCTTATACAGAGCTATGCACACAGTAGATGCTCAATAAATCTCTCATTTGGGGAAGCAGGAAAAAGGAAGTAGAAACAGAGATCTGAGTTCACTTCCTTTGTGTAATCAGGAAGGGGATGGAGAGGGAGAGAATGAGCGTTAGGGAGGGAAAGTTAGAAACGATGGATGAATAAGGAAATGTACCAGTTTCCTGTCTGTGGATAAGTTATTTAACTTCTTTGAGGCTTAGTTTCTCTATAAGATGGGGATCATAACAGCTACCTCGCTTAGTTGTTTCGAGGATTAGAAAAGCAGCTAGTGGGACGTCCCTGGTGGTCCAGTGGCTAAAACTCCGAGCTCCCAGTGCAGGCAGCCTGGGTTCCATTCCTGACTAGGGAATTAGATCCCACATACCACAGCTAAAGATCCTGGATGCTACAACTAAGACCAAATATCCTATGTGTCGCAACTTAAGACCCAGAGCGGCCAAGTAAAGAAATAAATATTTGTAAAAAAGAAAGAAAGAAAAGCAGCTAGTATGGAATTATCACTCATAGCTCCCTAAGGGCAGTGATCAGAGTGACCTCCACTCAGTACACTGTGACTATCACATACCTGGGTCTACTCTCTTGGCTTTTATTCTCCTGCCACTGCACATAAGCACCAAAGATACATAAAGGGGATGTTTCTTCTCTTGTTTTCATTTTTAAAAGCACCAGTGAATTAAGACGATGCCATTGAGAGAATTCGATGTCACCTTACCATTAGATGCTGTTTTAACATTCACATTAAGAACTGTGGGACAGGCCAGTCCCCGTGAACTGGGGCAGAGTCTGGGCTCTTTCTATTTATAGGCCCAAGCAAGAGGCCAACCGAGTGTGGTCATTTCTCTGGCTAGGCTGTGACTCCAAAACAAGGACCTGTAGCTGTCAGGAACTGAAACTGAGTCAGAAGCAAAAGTCGCTTGTGCTGTTCTGATTCTCCTGCCCATTGGAGGTGGGGGCAAAAAAACTAGGTCACTGCGAGCACCTGGGGACCTGCTGAGTTAAAGCAAGGCTAGTGTGCGGGCAGGGGAGGAGGGAACGTTCATGGATACATCTAATCCCTCATTTATTAAAATCAGGATGACATCATCTTCTCTTCCCACTCTTCCAAAGGCCACATTCTTTGGCAAAACTTTTTTTTGGGTCTCCACACTCTACAGCATTCAGGATCTCAGTTCCCCCATCAGGGATCAAACCCATGCCTCCTGCAATGGAAGCATGGAGTCTTAACCACTGGACTGCCAGGCAAGTCCAAGCAGGACTTTCAAATAAGGGCATTCTGACTTATGAGGAAAAGGCCAAAGTCAACATCAAAAAATCCTTTTTCTGCTCTGTAACAGTCATGGTTTAGCAAACGTTTCTGTGTGCCAAGCTCCTTACTTGGTGCTTCATGTACTTTTCTTATTTAATTCTTACCACTCTGGGAGGCAGATGGTATTTATTCCCATTTTACAGATGAGAATAATAAAACTCAGCGAGATTTAAGATCCACACTGGAGCCTGCTCACTCCAACAGGCTTCCACCATGTGGCTCTCCATGTTTTCCCCAAGCCTGCGTCTAGTGACCTTATGCTGGGAGCTTGGAATCGGTCATTATGGGAGCATTCACACCATGAAAAGCAGAAAATGATACAAACGAGGCTCCTCCTCCCCCAACCCTCATCTTCTATCCTCATCTTCTTTTTTAAACTGCTGAAAAACAGCTTGTTATATATTTGCTAGTGACTCAGTGGGCGGAGCCAGGATTCAAATATGTCTCCTCCTAAAGCTCACCCACTTTCCAGTTCATCCTGAGGAGTAAATGGGCCCTGTCTCTCTTTCTCTAACGAAGCACCATCTCTGTTGGTGGTGGGTCCTCAGGAAGCTGAACGGCTAGGAGAAGGATGAACACTTGCTTCTCCAGTCTCTTGTGCCTTCTCCCCGGCACCCCAGGAGATGCTCTGATCCAGTTATTAGCAGCAAATACTCATAACACCTTTTCCTTGTCTGTGCGGAGCTTAAGGATGCAACTGAAATTACAAGGGCTGAGTAAGCTGGAGAGAGGATTTACGAGGTAATAATAATGTGCTCTCATATATGGCACTTTTCATCTTCAAAGCATTTTATAGCCATTTACTAATTACTCTGTGTGCAGATACAATGCAGTGACGGGCCAAACTAGCAAGAAGTATTTAAAAAACACAGAGGCGACTGTCGCCCATTTACAAGTGCCACTTGCTTCTGTTGCTGTTGGGGGTGGAGATAAAAATCTCACAAATACTGGTTCTGAGTCCCTGGCATTTGAACTATGAAGTGGCTGTTGTCACCTTCTGTAGTTTGGCTGCCCCTAAGAAAAGCAGCCCAAACCTTCCCTCTGTGCTACTGGGGCTGAAAGTCTTCTCAAAAGTCCTATCATCTCCACGCTCACAAAGCTACACATAGTACATCATCCTTCAGTGGGGGAAGAAACCTGTTTGTTTATTAGTGTGCATGTGTGTTTAGCTGCTCAGTCATGTCTGACTCTTTGCGACCCCATGGACTGTAGCCCACCAAGTTCCTCTGTCCATGGGATTTTCCAGGCAAGAATGCTGGAGTGGGTTGCCATTTCCTACTCCAGGGGATCTTCCCGACCCAGGGATTGAACCTGAGTCTCTTCTATCTCTTGCATTGCAGGCAGATCCTTTACCGCTGAATCACCAGGGAAGCCCTTGTTTCCTAGAGTTACGGACAAAAGTGAGAAGCAGCACTGGATCTGGAGCATGGGCTGAGTCCCGACTGGCACCGACTAGCTGGTGATCATGGGTAACTCAATTAACCTCTCTGATCTTGTTTCCTCACCTGTGGAACAAGGGCGACCCCCCTCACTTGCTTATTTCACAGGTCTACTGTAGAGATGTGCTGAGATAAAGCACAGATAGCACTTCTGGTTGGTCGGGCATGCTTCACAGATGTGTGGGCTACCATGGACGATCTGGCCAGCCTGAGCCGTCTGGACCCCTAGAGGTTGGCAAGGGCAGGAAGGCCACTCCTGAGTTGCACTGCCCAGGACTGGCTGCTGCCACTACTGACTGGCTATTTGAAATGCCAAGGGTCCAGGCCATGTGATCGCACCCATCTCATAACTGCCAACCAGCCCCTGCTAGAACTCGAGCTGGAAACCCCTACTGGGTCTGAAACAAAGTCTGACTCAGTCTACTCTTGGTTCCATGGGCATCGAGCCCAATCCATGCCCCTCCATCCTAAGTGACCGTGTCATGGAGCAGGAGAGTGGAGCTTGGCCCACAGCTGGCCTGATGAAGAGGAGGCAGGCAGCTGATCAGGAGAGACTCCAGTGTGGTCATGACCACTTGCTCAACAGAATCACCTGGGAGTTTTATCAAAATCCAGACACCCAAGCCTCAGCTAACAAGATGTGATTCAGCAGGCTGGCAGTGGGGCCCTGGGCAGTGGTTCTTTAAAAAGCTCCTGGGGTGGTTTTGACTACACAGAGAAGGGACTTACTCAGGGTCACACAGCTGGCTGACGGCAGAGCTGGGGTGCGGAAACGGGACGCCGGACTGTTCTCTGTCACAGAAATTCCCAAGGCTTCAAGGTGAAGTACTCACGTGGTGAAAGATCCCAGAGGCGGGCAGCCCTTCAGCTGGAAGCCAAGCTGAGAGGTCTCTTCTAGCAGTTTCCCTGCCTCCTGAGAACATTCTCGAGTGCTGGAGAACACCGGAAGGAGGGGTGTCTCTCATCGGCCCCCACAAGGGTCCTGAGCTGGCTCCCTTTCAGGTTGACATGGGCTCCAGGAGCCATAAGAGGAGCTGAGAGAACAGTGAGGGGCCGGGTTCTACCCGTGCAGGCCCTACAGCAGATGGGAGGCAGGTGAGTTGAAGAAAGGAGCCCAGGCCACACAGGTCAGCTTGTTTCTCTCGCCTCCATGCCAGGGTCCCACTTCCGGGGCTGAAAGCCCTCAGGGTAGAACCCCGCTAAACTAAACTAGACCTTGTCAAGTGGACAAGCTGGCTGTGGTCAGCCTGATGGCTGTGGTCAGCCTGAGTGTAAGCTGAGGGAAGCCATGTAAGGCTCCCAGCTCCCAGGTTTGTGCTAATTTACTGGGAGTATTCCTTTAGCTTGTGGGCCTTGGTTCTCACTTCTGACTTGAAAGGGAGTAGCAGGGGAGACGGATTCGGTGGTGCAAACAGATGACTTCTGAAACCCCGCCCAGCTCTGCTAATCCACAAATTTAGGGAAGATGGAGCTTGCTCATGGTACCTTCCCCAGCCCCATTCCTGGGTGGCAGTGGAGCTGGCAGGCCTGATCCAGGGTTCGTCCATGGGACCCTACCTGTGTCTTCCAGGTATAATTCACACAGTGCTTCATAAGCCCAAACAACTCTCCCAATGGCATCGGGAGGGGCGGGAGAAGAGAGATAAATTTCTTGAGGCGTTCAATAAACTTTAATGACTTTAATGACTGCCTTCTGGGTCAGGATGGGCTTTGTACCTGGAGTACACACAAGGGCCTGGAAGCGAGGCTGGTGCTGGAACCTAGTTGTTCCTGAGCACCGGTCTTGGGCCCAGCTGGGAAGTGGCTGAAACCCTGCCAGCTGGTCAGACTCATTCAGGCAGCACCTTTACAAGTGGAGGACTGTCCAAAATGGGAAACACTGGGGTGTGAAACACACAGGCACTAGTTTCGGGGAAAAGAGAAAAGCAAAGGTGTGTTTAATCTGAAAACTTAAAAAGAGGTCTCAGAGACAAAGGCTTTGGAATCAGGGTGTGTGCATTTAGGATGTCTTACTTTCCCTGGAAAAATACGGCATCATGATTTGTGACTTTATTTCTTTCAACTAAGAAATATACTGCAGGAAACAAAGAGGGAGCCACCAGAGGCGGGGGACGGAGCGGGGGGGCGGGCTCTGGGATCCAGGTTCCCTCCAGCCAGCTCAAGTCTGGGTTCCAGTCGGGGAGCAAAGCTGCTGTGTGAGCGAAACGCTGCCATGAAGACATTCCAATGGCTTCCAGGAAGCAGTCATATGTGCTGACACGCATGTGGACAGAGAAGTCTGGCTGGCTACCTCTCAAGACTGGTGTTTCCTAGAGCTTTCCATTGGCAAACGCTGCCTCCTGGAACTGAGGGACAAAGGTTTTGAAATAAGCCCTGGTGGGAAAAGGGGAGAAAAAAAAAATTGTGGTTAGCACAAACAACTTGAAAAAAAAAAAAGTGCAACTCAGAGCTTTCAACCTAACTCAGAACAGTTGTTATTTATTGTTCATGCATCTTGGATTGGATTTTCCTTCTCTGCTGATGCAAAGCCTTCTGGATTTTTCCAAGAGAGGTCCATGCAGTTCACTGCTGTGCTCTCTCTCATGGATGCTTAAACGGTCTGTATTCAGAACTTCCTGGCTGCCAATTCCCATCAGACATCAGTACTCAGGTTTTCTCTGCCCTTTCCCAGGTCAAAACCAAGGGTCCAAGCTACAAGCCAGAGAATGACCAAGCCAAGCAACCAGTCATTTTCGTGATCTGAAATATCAACAGGGTTGTACTTTTCACTCAATTGGATCTTCAACTTCATACAAAGAAAAGGAAAAAGTGCTGGTCGCTCAGTTATGTCTGACTCCTTGTGACCCTGTAGACTGTATCCCACCAGGCTCCTCTATCCATGGGATTTCCCAAGCAAGAATACCACAGTGGGTTGTCATTTCCTTCCAGGGGATCTTCCCGACCCAGGGATCAAACCCAGGTCTCCTGCGTATAGATAAGCAAGGCCTAATATGATGAATTTCAAAGTGATCCATGGTCTCCATTTATTTGCAAATATACTCGTAGTTTGATCTACTGGAAAGAAAACCAGGCTGGGTGTCAGGAGAGCCTTCTCAGACCAGCGACAGGATCTGGGGCAGACCATTTGGTTCTTCCGGCACCCAGATTCGAACCTGTAGAAGCAGACTCTCCATTCAATAGCAGGAGGCTGTGCCCGGCACTGTCTGAGGTGCCAGGGGTTGGGAGATGCCCCAGACATGGCACCCCATGTGGGTGAGATCAGCTTCGAGGAGCAGCAGACACAGAAGAAATACCAACTGCTGTGGCGATGGCACTTACAGAGGTGCCATGAGGCACCAGCTTGGGGCAATCAACGGAGGAGGAGGTGAAGCAGGCATTTTACACATGTTCCAGGCGAAAGACGCAGCAGGAGCAGAGGCCTGGGGAGCATGGGACTGCTGCTCGTGAGCTGGGAACTAAACACTCTTCCATAAGAGAAAGGGCGTGGTGGGAAGTGGAAGACAACAAGACGGAGAGGTTGGGGTGGGTACCCTGTGGGCCTCCCGGTCCTCCCTCCCTAGCCCCCGGTGCTGGTGAGACTGGAGCAGCTGACTTATCCAGCAGTGGCTCACCCGGACCTGTGACATGAGCTAGATGACCTGTCACCATCAGTACCATAAAGGCCTCAGGCACCTTACCCAAGCCTATGTTATTAATATTTAGGATACAGTCCTAAATATTAAGCTTGGTGCTCCAGGCTCCCAGGAGATCAGAAACACACTAGGAGTCAGGGGGTTCACTTAAAGGTAGATGGCAGACGTGCTGAAGCTGTGAGAGGCAACGAGGTGACGTCCACCCGTGAGAAAAGAGCAGAGAACTGCTCAGGAGTCAAGAAGCTCAAACGGGTGGTTCGATGTCGGGCGAGGAGTCCCACAAACTCAGCAGCCCTGGGGTCACCATGAGGTAGCCACACAGAGCATCAGTGATGACACCTGCCTGATCCCCTCCCCGCAAAGCCAGGTCATGGGAAGCCCTCTTTCACATTTCAGGGATTTGCTTAGATTTTTCAGTCCTAGCCTCTGCAGCTTCTCTGCAGTGGTTCCTGCGTCTGGAAGCTACTGCCCGGACATTACACATCCAGACCTGCTCCCTCCCTTCTCTCCCTGCTCCTCCTCACCCCCAGGTGACATCTCTCCTTGGCCTCTTCCAGTCCTGCTCTCCACTCCCCTCGCTTCCTCTCAGGCTTGAAACACCCTCAGCAGAGAACACCTACCCCTGCCCCTGGAATCTGGGTCTCCATCCTTCCCTCCCAAATGGCCAGTCTCACATTTCCAACCAGGACATCATGACCTGAACGTCTATCATTCATCCAAGCCAGTGCATGCCACATGGATGTGTTCATCGTTATTACGCATTTGGAAGTGCATCGGGCCCTGGTACTTCTGTACCAGAACCCTCACTTTCCACTTCTCCCTAAACCTCTGCAGCGAATTCATCCTGCAGCTTCTTCCTCTTCCTCCCTGGTGTCCCCACACCCTGAGCTCCCTGCCTTGTTACCTTTTACAACACTGCTGTTTCTTCCTGGGATGCAAGGCTTCACCTTCCTGTTGCAGGTAAATGAACTCTCTTTGAGTGTGGGTCTGTGTCCCTACCCCAAACAAGACCCTTCATCTGCCCAAACCCCCAGCCTGGGGTGCCATGATTGTCATCTGCACTTTTCCTCAGTCTCATTTTGGGATCATGCCCTGCCCTCCATCACTGAGAAGCTAAGAAAGCTGAAGATCCTCTCCCAGAAAACCTGCAGGTGAGTGTCCTCACTGTGATGTCACAGGAGATCAGAAGCACATTACGAGTCAGGGTGCTCACTTAAAGGCAGATGGCAGACATGCTGAAGCTGTGAGAGGCAATGAGGGGATGTCCATCCATGAGAAGAGAGCAATCGGGGGTGTCATAAGCTCCCTGAGGCCCAAGCACAGTCCGGACGCCAGCCTCCACTCCCACTTCCTCCCGTCTGGCCACCTGCTCTTCCTCACATGTGCCATTACCACCCCGGGCCTTTAGTCATGCTCAGGCCAAATGCCCTTGCCCCCATCAAGCCTTCCCTGGTCACCAGAAGGTTCTCTCCCTGAATGCACTCCCTGTGCTTCTTCTGGGCGGCACTGCTGCCCCGGAAAGGAGGGAGCGAGTCTCCTTCTTGGTGACCCCACAGGCCTGGCCTGTACAGAGTGCCCGGCGAGGACTTCATGGCTGTAATTAAGGTAACTGCTAACAACCACCGGTTTGCGAGAGCAGTTGAAGCAGGTCCCTTGCATGCTTTTTGGGGTGAAAGAGAGCAAGCCCAGAAAGCAGGCAGATGTGACATTTAGATTCTGAGGAAGAAAACTGCAAAAGTGTCGTCCGTTCTCAAACTTCAGCCTATGCCGACTGTCAGTGAGAAGGATCAATGCCCTCCATCATCCCTGTTCCAGCCAATCCTCCACCTTTTCTGAGACACAGAACCTTGGAGCCCTTGCCCACAATTGTCCTTATGGGGAGGAGGACTGCAATGAGGCAGGAGCTGCCCTAGACCGAGAGCCAGGCGGACCAGTCAAGAGATGCCCTGAGTTTTGTTTCCCCAGGGTGAGAAGGGACGACAAGCCCGCCCTGATGTGACGCTCTCACAGGACCACGTGTGGGAAGGAAGTTGTTGACTGGCTGCCGCCACGGGTCGTGAAGGCCGTTCATTCCTTCCCAGTGTTTCACGTGTTGCTATTTCCCCAGCAGGATTTGTGTTTGCTGGAGCGGGGCCTGGTGGCCCTTTTTCAGGGGGTCCGGCACCGATGGGCTGCTGCCAACCTCCGCTGCATTTGCCTTCCTGCCCAAAGGACATCTCGGAGTCTGAGCACCAGGTGGGGAGGCACCCCTGTCTTAGGTCCCAGGTGAGGACACTATGGGGAGAGGCTCCGGTTGGCCCCACAGTAGGTGCCCGACAAAGGAGTGGGACTGACTGCTGCTGAAACAGGGCCCTGGGCTCTCTCCTCATGCCTGGTGTCACATGGGATGAATCTGATGCAGCGAATCTCCTCAGCTCAGTTTTTTCCTTGGAAACTTCTGGTGGAAGGGGCCACACCAGTGCAAGCTCCTTTGATGGAAAGGTCTTGGCAAGAGGGAGCAAGCTTTACAGCAAGCTCTTTCCTTCTTCAGAAAATTCTAAAGTTTCCTGTTCTGTCCTGGGCTTTCCCTGCCAGGGCAAACTGTGTGACGCCAAGGGGAAGCAGTATGGAGCAGTGCTATTTAAAGGCATGATGCTACCAGCTGCTGTCAGTGAGCGCTTCTCAACGCAGAGCCGCACGAAGTCAGCTTGGGGAAGGGGGGAGGAAGGGGAAAATGACAACTGACTCCCAGCCATTTATAGATTTTTTTTGAAGCACTGTTTTCATTTATTTCAGTTTTTTTATCAGAGAAAGTGGAGAGCTGCTCAGAATATATCACTTGCCAATGGCACTAGTCTGTCACCTTTAAAAAAACTCTTTGACCCAAAGACAAAGTAAATGGTAAGCTTTAAAAGTGTAAGCATGTTACAGGGGTAGTGAGGGGAAGGTCTTCTCATGTCCCCCTTCTCTGGTCAAAAGGGCCTGCAGGATAGAGGCCTTGAGTCAGTCAAGCTCCTCATTCTACTCACACTAGAAGGGAAATTATTTTTAGACCAGATTAGAGCTAAATATGCCTGAGGACAACATCAGGTTCTGACTGTTTTCACTGATCTCAGTCCCTTCACTCTGGGTTTTATAAAATCACAACTTAGTCTAATCACAGAGTCTCAGATCAACACAATAAAACTTAAAGAACTGACTCCAGGCCGAGGTCTGGTAGGTTTTCCATGAATCAGAAGCAGGATTGGCTCCTGGCCTCAGCTCATAGGCACTGTCAGGAGGGCAGAGCAGACAGACCCCAAGGTCAGGAATCAGGGCGCTGGGGGGCTCAATGGGTCTGCTTTTCTGGGCCTGGGGTCCAGGAGTAACTTCCCTCTGGGCACCAGATCCCTCATCTTCAGGGCAGGAAGCTGTGCTTGATGATCTCCAAGGCCCCACAGGCTGGAGGCTGTGCAGGACAGGCAGTGTGTGTTCTGGAGCCAGCCACGCCTGGGCTCAAGGCTTGGCCCTGCTCCTTACTGGCTGTCCCACCTGTGCAAGTGACTCACCTCTTCAGCTTTAATTTCTTTGACTATAAGAGGGGAGCCATAATGCCTACCTTAAAGAGTAATCCTCATGAGGATTAAATGAGATGCTCCAAGTAAGCACTTGGCCTGATGCCTGGCATACTACTTGATCCATAGATGTCAACTGTTACCATGGGGACCCAGTTGGGTCTGAGGGGGAAAGACTGAGTCCCTGGGACAGTCAGGGCATGTGTGG